CTCTGCTCCGCCCCCCGCAGCAGCCTCAGAACAGCCTCTAAGCAGCACCAGCTGGCTACGGCCCCGGAGCGGATTCTCCCAAAGGGCCTGGCGTGTCGGCCATCTTGGATGCGCTCTCCAAGAAAGCACCGAGGGGCCGTTTCTGCTCCCTCAGCGGCACCCAGGGATGGAAGATCGGAGAACGCGGCCCATTGCTGTCACTTATTTCTGGTACAAGAGAGACTAGAGGCCTGTGAGTAAACGAAGACCATCCTAACCATCTCCAGGCAGGGCTGCGGCCTCCCCAACAGGCTGTGCTCATGACAATATTCCCTTGCGGACACCCCACCGCTCAGCGGCTGATGCTGGGGGTGGCCAGCGGAGGAAGACAGGGAGGTGAGGCAGGGCGAAGCGTCTTTACTTTGGGCCTAACCCAGCCCTGGCCTCCTTGAACTTGCTCCTTTCTATTGACACTGCAAACTCCACTTGTGAGTCGTTGCCAAGGACAACGTTGGGCTGAGGCTTGGAGCGCCTCTACCGTTCTCCACCATCCAGGCAGCCGGTGGCTTCGGCGAGCCCGGGGACATGCCAGGATCCGCTGGCAGTCACCCTATTGGCAGAGGGGAGATTCATCCCGTGGGGGGCCAACGCGGGAGTTAAGAGGCAAATGGTGCCCCAGCTGACCTGTTCTACTCCACTAGCGGGCGGCCACGTGCTTAGGGGTGCGCACCCGCGGCAGCTCACCCTGTTTACTCCCCGTCCCCCCCGGGCTCTCGTTCCCCCGCCTCGCCCAGCGCGTTCCCCTCGGGAAGGCCCGCCAGCTCCCCCTCTCACCTGTAGATCCTGTACCTGGTGGTGAAACCCTGGCGGTAGCGCTCGGCGAAGTCCGTGTAGTCCTGAGCTCGGTGAAACGGGCCCCGGTCCGTGAGCAGCCAGTCCAGCGGCGTCTGGCCTGGGGAGGAGGAGGAGGCCGCATGCTGCTCAGGCACCGGGCCGGCGGCGGTGGCCGCAACCGCCCCCCGGCAGCACAGACTCAGGACCAATAGCGCCGGTGCCCATGGGACCGTCAGCCGGAGCCCTTCACACTGCGCGCCGCGCTGCCGCCTCATGCTTCTCCGGCGCGGTTGGCTTCTTCATTCTCTCGCCACGCTCCCCCCCGCGGCGCTCCCTCCGGGCCTCGGGCGCTGCAACGGCACAAGGGGAAGGGATTAACGGGAGGCCCAGGCCAAGGACCGGCGGGTCGCTTCCTGCTGCTTTGCTGGGCGCCAGGGAGAAAGGCAGGGTAGGCCTGGAACCCGGCGGGGGCTGTTTGGCACCTGTCAGTGTGTGCGGCGCTGCCAGGCAGACGCCAACGCCCTCTCATTAGCAGACCAGCTACCCCACGGGCAATGCCAGGCCAGGCCCGCCCCGCACTGTCCTACCGGCGTAGCGCTCTGCTCCGCCGGGAACAGCTCCCGGGAGTAGGGGGAATTCTTTCTCCACGTCACAGCCTCGAGCTATGTCTGCTCCCCTGAGAGCTCTGGCTCTCAGCTGTATGTGGGTGTGGTGGGGGGTAGCATGGCACAAAGGGAGAAGGTGCAGGGCTCCAGGGCGGAGGGGAATTTGGGGGCACAGCTGCAAAGTGCAACACCACGTGGACAAGCTCCGGAGGGTGCCGAGAGGGCCACCCCCCCCCCCCCTTTCGGACTGTGGTTGCTCTGAAGGTGGGGATGCTCCGGTGGAGATTTCAATGGGCTAGCGCAGGGCAACCCCACGGAGCCGTAGCGACTGGCTTGGGGCCCCGTTCTCTTTAGCAGCCCTGTCTCCCACACCATGCTGGGCAGCTACCTGGCTCCTTACTTCTGTGGCTCCCTTCCCAAGCCTCCCTCCTCTGCGGCACGGATGTTCCCACCCACTGACCGGACCTGCCATCGCCCCCTGCCCCCCCCCGGTTCCTTTGGCCCAGGGTCCGGCTTGCTGAGGAAATGAAACGTTCTGTTGCACTCAGGGGAACGACCGGTCGGCGTCTGCAGCCCCGGCTGCCACGTCACCAGGACTAAAATAATAAACGCCCCAGACGTGCGGAAGAAGCACGCCCCGCTCCCGAGTGAGGTCAGAGCCGGGGGGAACCCAGCTTCCTTTTAGGTACCCAAGTGGGCAGCAAATTGGATCGGGGCATCCCCCCGAGGGCGGCTGGGCCCAGGGCTTTGCCAAGGCCTCTCCCAGGTCAGGGTGCTGAGCATCTGCCAGTTTGGTCCTGGGAGGGCTGGGAAGGGAGCCACAGGAATTCAGGGGGCTTGGGAACAAAGGTGCCGAATGCTTTGCCGGGCGCGGCAGGTTTATGGCCGGTCCAGTCAGGGGTGGGGAGGCGCAGTCCAGGCAGGCAAAGGAACCCCCTGCCATGTCCCATGTGAGCGCCCTGGTCTACAGAGCAGGGCGGAGAAGGCAGGCGCAAGGTGTAACAGGGCAGCCTGGCCCTTTAAGGGTCAGCCAGGCCTGTGTAGTGAGCTGCCTGAGGAGGTGGGACTAACGGGCCAGGTGTGAGAAGGGAGAAGGGTTGGGCTTTGTAAAACAGGGCCCGGGAGCGAGCGCACAGGCAGGGGTGGTAGCCACAGGGAGCAGCGCTGGCCCTGAGGTAGCTGCGGTTCCTGGCAAGGGAAGGCCGTGGGGGAGAGCGACCTGGAGAGAAAACCCCCCCGGGCAGAACATGCCCTGCTAGCGTGGCAAGAACTCTGCAGGCCTGGGGGCGCAGCGCAAAGAGCAGGGAACTGCCGGGACACTGGAGCAGGGTCTCTGGGAAGCCTTCAAGGTAGCCCAGAGGTGGCAGCGAACTCGGCCCAGAAGGCAGGAGGAGAACAAGACTTCAGGGACCTCAGAAGGGACCCGAACTTGACAGACGACCCGGCTGGAGGGCTGGCCCCCGGCAGACTCAGAATGCTGTAGAGCCACCAGAGGAATTCCTGCCGTGCGGTGTCCGGCCTGGGAGGGGCGCTCTGGTGGTGAGTACCCCCCTCCTGCCACGCGTGGCAGCTTTATTCGCACGGGGGGGCTTCTGCCAGTGAGGGATCTGCTATTGGAGCAACCTTGAGGGGGGAGCTGAGGCTGCCAGGCATCTGGTGGCCTTGCTGGGTCTGCGTTTTGCTCGTCACCAGAGCCGGCGTCAAAGCAAGACTCTCCCGGCCGGGTTCGGGGGTGGACTCTGTGGGGCCCGGTGTAGGGCAACGTCTTGTTAGATGGTTACAGGCATCCCAGGTGGGATGTGAGTCACCATCCGAATGGAGGCTGGGTAGGAGCGGTGTTTGGTGCGTCAGCGTTTCCTGCTTGTTCCAGGGGGTTGGCTGAAGATGGTCCGGGTCACACCTCCCGCTCAGCTGACTCTGACTGTGGATCGAGCGTTTTCTGCCTTAGGGGGGGTGTTTCTCTCGGGCGCCGAGGCCTAAAAACATCTGCAGAGCAAAGCCAAGGTCAAAGTCAGCACCTGCACTTCTGACTGGGGCTCCGTTAGCTGAAATAAACAGGGGAGGGGTGTAAAAGTGTAGCAGCCTCCAGAGGAATCCAACTCCGACCACCTGGAGAGCCTTCCCGCCGCGACGCTCCCAATTCCAACGCCTTCCTGGTGTCCAGTCCCCCTTAAAAAAGCCACCCTAAGCCAAGCACAGTTGGAAGGGAGACCTGCATGAAGGCGAGCAGCTTGCTATTGATTTTCTATGGAAGGTGCTGAGAGTTTTCAAGTCAATTCCGGCCTGCTCTGGCTCTTGCCTCGGCTCTTCTTAAGCTGCTCGGAGATTTTGACCAGCTAAGCTCAGAGCACCACGAGTCCGTCTGCGTGGCTGCTTCTTGGCTGTCTTCAGGCCCTTCCGGCAGGAGAAATCGATCCAGGTGGGGGATGCAACGAGGGAGGCGTAAACTATCCAGGGGGCTGGGCTGATGAGTGGCGAGGGGCCAGAAATGGGGGGGTTGGTTTCCTTCTGTGGTTCTGCCCTTGGGTCTCTTTGACCTTGGTCAAGTCTCTTTGCCACTGCATCCCCCAGCTCACGCCTGACAACACTTCCCTGCTCCTGGAGGTAAGGGTGACCTCTCCGGTCCAAAACTGTCCTTATGGGGGTGGCAGGAGACAAAGGGATTTGGGAACCAACGGTGCAGTGTCCCACCTCTTGGGAAAGGAGGCAAACAGAGCCGGTAGAGACTGAAGTCATCCGCTTCAAGGGAGTTTATTCACAACCTGCCTCGTTATTATCCCAATGGGGTGTTTTTCTCCTGTCTCTGAGCATGTGGGTCGGGTTGGAGGCAGCAAAGGAGAAGCATCCATGGAGGGAATCTCTGCTCTTCTCTTGAGAAGTGGCCCAAACCGTGGTCCCCATCAGAACCACCTGGGCGCCGGGGTACTAAGAATTAGTTCCATGTGTTTAGCAAACTTCCTTGCGAGCCACGAGGAGGATGTGCAGCCGGCAGATGTTCCCGTGCGCCCAGCTCTGCCGGGGCCTCTCGCTCCTGATCTGCAGCCCCACTGACAGGCCGGTCCTGGGCCCCCATGCGGCTCTAATAATACGTCTCCGTTATTACCTGCCACAGCCCTGCCGTTCCGGTGCCAGCCCCTCGTGCGGCGCTGCTAATGCATGTCAATCCAGACCGGCAGCACCCCCCTGCAGCACGTCCTGGGCTAATGCCTGTCAGTCGTAGCTTTCAGCACCCCCGCTAGCCCAATCTGGGGGCCCCACGTAGCTCTTGGCAGGACTCGCAATCATGCTTTCAGTGCCGCCTGTTGCTCTACTCCTCCCCCCGGCTCTGTCACTCACCGCACTGCATGTCTGCCCTGCAGCACCCCACCTTTCTCCCGGGGGACGAGGGGTGGGGAGGAGGAACAGTCGGCATAAAACCGCTTAGGGAGGCTGTGGAATCTCCATCGTTGGAGTCTTTTAAGCGCAGGTTAGACCAACGCTTCTCGGGGAGGGTCTAGAGAACACTTAGTCCAGCCGGGAGGGCAGGGGGCTGCATTAGAACACCCCTCCAGGTCCCTTCCAGTCACGTGAGGCTAGACTGCTGAATCTCCGGCCTCCCCCAAGCTTCTCTGGCATTTGGGGTTGCCTGTCCGGCGGTAGCTCTCCTAATACGCTAGCAGCTGCCTTACGGCCCTTTCCTTATTCCAGCTGCTAGACCACAGCTCACTGAAGTCAATGAGCCACGCTGATTTCAAGGGGCGCTAGATTTCAAGACTTCCGCTGATTTCAAGGGGCGCTAGATCAGGCCCTCTTTTCGCTACCCCTTGCTCCTTCCCCCTCTCTGTCGCTCTGCACCCTCAAAGCCTCGTGACTTCAGTGGGATGTCCGGGTGCAGGGCACCTCGCGGGATGGGGCCCTCTGGGCAGGAGGCGTTAAGGGGGCAGAGCGTCCTGGCCAAGCGTCAGCTGGCTCAGGGCCGTTCTCTCTCAGCATTGCAGCTCTCGGCCTCCGAGGCGGGGGCAGGAGGCGGGGTTCCCCAGGGCCGGGGCGGCAGGAGAGGAAGGCTGACGCTGGGGGCATCAGGGCAGCGAACGATCGTGGAGCACCTGGAGCGCGCCGGTGACTCTTGGGTTCCAAGAGACAGGGCGTGGCCCAGCGCTGGGGGATGGGATGTCGGGCTCTGGGCCCCCTTGCTGCAGGGGGGCCAGGGGATCAGTGGGGGGGGATAAGGCAGCTCCCTGACGCAGCCCGCAGCCGGTTCCCCGGCC